TGAAGATAATAAATGTAGTAAGATCATGCCATGAAGAGTGATGCTTTTACCAATTAGTTTGCAGCTTCCAGTCTGGAGTTACTGAGGGTGGCTCAAATGTGACCCACTCTGAGAGGTAAGAGCTTCTGCAAACACAAAAAATCCTTTCTTAGAATCTGTGTTTGAATGGCAGACAGTAAAAAGTCACAAGCCACTGCAACGTGCTGTGCAGAAACTCTGAACCATTCCTTCCCATGGCTTCATCAGGAGCACCCACTGACCCAGGCACCCCACTGACACCCACAGGTACAACTGGCTAAAAAGGGGGAGAAAATCAGCCATTTGCTAAAGGTCTTTTTCTTTTTTTTTCAAGGTTTAGAGGTGACTTTTTCTTCATATCATCTGAGCTGAACATTTTCAGAAAAGTAGTCGAAAAAACGAGGAGGGAGAAGGAGGGAGGCAGAATTTTGAGTCAAAGGGCCATTGAGGGCTGCGGTGCCGGTTCCATGCAGGAACAGTGGCATCTAGTGGGCAGTTCTGCAGGTGAGAAAACAAGAGTTCCCAGCCTGGCTGTAGCAAAAGCCAGCGGTTAAAGCTAATTACATGTTTATCTCTCCCAAGTCTGCTGTAATCCTTTTTTGTAAAAGCATTTGGAAATGAACTATTTTGCAAACCCTCCGATCTCCAGTACACAACTTTTACACAACACTTATATTCCTATTTTTGGTATATTAAGCCCTCTCATGGCTTTCACATGCAAATTCTAATTACTTAATGTCATATAGATTATAATAAATCTTCACCCAGTAGGAAAGTTAATTGTTTGCATGCACATATAAAAGACTAGCATTTTTCCCCAAGGTTTTAGACATGGACAAAAATAAACCTCCAGCTAGTCCTTGGACACACTTGATCTCATTCAACTTCAGATTATTTCAAGCAGAGCTTGGCTTTGAAGGAAAGATCTGTGTAAAGGAAGAGAATAAAAACACAGTAGAGTAGGCACACTGAAGGACTCTGGAAAAAACTTAATTACATAATTCCTATACCTATAACTAAGTATGTTTGTGCAGTGTTAACCTTTTATGCTAATCATTTATGGGTTTTCTCACTGCTGAGTCATAATAAATGTTTGCATTTATTTCTACCTAACCCTAAGATCCTGTTCTTTTATTAGTCCACTGGTTTACATGTAAAACACTATATATATATATATTATGGACATACAGAAATGTATAATAAGCAGGATGAGGGGTTGCTACATCTGTGGCAATAGTCTGAAGCAGTCACACTCATGCCTTCCCTCTCTCTTCAGACTTCAGTGTTTGCCAATGCTGAGGAAATTTTGGGAAGTCTGCTGGGCTGTGATGGGCTCCTCTTCTTTGGCTGCCTCTCAGGTAGGTTAAAGGGTTTTTCTCTGTTTACTTGCAGGGCCCAAATTAGTGTGTATGAATGGAGAACTTGGCTTCTGAAGTCTGGCAGAAGAGCTGGTGTCGTAAAAGGAAATATCTTGATTATGCACTATCACAGGATTACAGAAGCTTCAGTTTAGGTTTTTCTTCTTTACCCTCATAATTTTCTGTTGTCTTTACACTTCTTTCTCCCTTTCTTCTCTATGTTTCAAACTTTCCATTTATTGTCTGCTGTTTTTCTTGTCTGGATGGACCAGGGGGTACTTCAATGATCAGTTTTACCACAGAACAGAAATGTAGGTATTTTTAAGAGAAAATTGACTTTTGTAAAGAAGCTTAAATGCTGGAATTCTAGAAGCACTGGTAGTGATTTGGATTTGAATCTAAGTAGAAATACGGGCTGTCTCTTTTGCCCACTGGCTGGATGAATCCACCTGACACAAATGTGGGCTCAAGACTATTCACACTCAACCAAAATTCTTTTACCATATGAAGTGTGAGAGAACATGGAACAGGCATCTAAGAGTACTTTACCTTTCTATGTTTCTAATTTTCTTTTTGTAAATTAGACATAATAATATTTAACTTTTATTTGGATATAGCTAATGAGATCCTTCAACCGTAATGTGGACAAACAAACATAAAAACAACAAACAATTTTTATTCCACATTTGCTTTAGGATTAGCTCAGCATTACTGTGGTAAACCAAGAAGCTAGTATTTAATCTTACTAGTTACCTGACTCATGACTGAATATAAGTAGGTGGGAGTTATTTCGGAGAAGTACTTAGACAACTTGCACTGAGTGAAAGTTGGCATAATTGGGACTGGCACAAATTTTTCACTGGGCAAGAAGAAACAGAGCCAGTATTTCACCTAACAAGTTTAACTTCAGTGGAGATAGGCAAATTCAGATCTGTGCATTGAGAGTATTATGAATGAAGCACACAATAGCAGCTCCCAGATTTAATCTGTGATTCCATCTTGACAGTGGGGGAAAGCAGGTCTTTGATGCTTTGAGATTTAAATTATTTCCTTGTAGTCATCTAGAAGAGCTCTTTTACTGGAAGGAAAGTACACCAGAAGGACTGTTGATCTATTTCAGCCTATCAAATGCTCTGTTGCAGCAGTAATTACCTTGTATATCTTCATAAACTTGTGTTTTATTGTGCTACCAGTCCTCAGGCTTTTTGTGTGACTGCAGTGAGGAACTCTGAAAATTCATAACGAATCCTATGACCGTTACAGATTGTAACAGTCGTGTAAGAGCCAGCAAGCTATTTTTCATGTTTTTCTGCAGGTATCAGATGTTTACCATCTGACTGTACCAGATATTCCAAACCAAGGCAGAAGTTACAAAAGTACACAAGCAGAAAAGGGGTGGCTGGTTACATGTGACTGACCTGGCAAAATTAGAAAGGAAAGGGAAAAGTTGTACAGAGAAGTTACAAAATTATTAGACTGCACCATAGTGTGTCCCAGCTGCTGATCTAAAACCTCTGATGTTTCCTTAGTACTTTGCACTGCTGAGCCTTACTTGTAGAGATTTTTGTCAGCATATAACATGGGGAGACTAAGTAACAAGATTAACTGAAAATTGATTTGAATCAAGTTTTTATTATGAAACAATACGTTAAATACTCAGCAGGCAATTCAACTTAGATTAGTGTTGCATAAATGTTATGTCTTCATACAATATTGTTATTTAACCTAAAAAGCTGTAATTAAGGATTCCTCCAAATGCCAGAAAGCTGGCCTTCTCTTCATGTTTGTATTCTCCAATTTTCTGTGGACCTCTCCCTCTAAGTTCCTTTTTCTTCAATCAGTCTAAAGCTGTACCCTTAAAAAGCACAGCCTAGGACTACTCAGTGATTTATTCTTGCTCATACCTCAGAAACTGGGGGGAAACCTTGATTGATTTATTCATGCCCATAGTCATTACTGGTAGGAAATATGCAGTGGTCTATAACCTATCTAGCCATTTACAGCTGGAAATGTTGCTGTGTCACTAGGATTGCTCTGTATTGCAAAGATGTTCAGCTCTATAAGGAGCACGTAGCCAATGCAGGAATAATCTTCTCCTTAACACAATCACACTGTTTGTCCTCTTCAGTGCCCGTGAAGAGATCTGCAGAAAATAAGAAAATGTAATTAAAACACATGCTGACATTGGCAATACTAATAACATTCAAAAGGCTTCAACTCATTTAATCCCTTTTCTAACATTAATTCTTCACAAAAGCCTTTGAGCAGCACAGAAGTGAGCCAGCTTTCAACTATGTCTCAGCTGGAAGATTTTTTGAAACTGCCAACTTCCCTCCTAGGGCTAAGGTTTGGGAATTTTATGTTTTGTTTTTGAATAAGTTTCAGACCTTTGGCTTATTATGAATTAGCCTTGCTCCATTGAATTCTGCCCCAACATTAAGATTTTCAAAGGTATTTGTAGGTACATATAGGTACAAATAGATGCCTAGCAGAATTTTAAGCAGATAAACTCTCTACTTTTTTGAAACAGATCAGCCCTGACAGACACCATCTCTGTATTGTAGTCCTTAAATGGTTTAGAAAGCATGGAGCTAAATCTGCAATATTTGTTGAAAAGTTACCTGTGAATGATATAGCATCACTATTATGGTGATGATTCAAATGTATCCCAGTTTATAAATGGAATTTGTGTCCTAAGAATATAAGCAGAAAGGCTTAGGCTGGTATAAAAATACACAGATGTGAGTGTATTTATTTATTTGTGGCATTACAAATGGCTATTGGGTAATTGGAAGAGTTTATTATTAATTTATATATTTTACAATTCTGTATGTTCCTTACCCCAAGATATCACATAATTTTAATTAGTGGGAAGTTGATAGAATTGCATGCAAAATGCATAAGGGAAAAAAAGGTGACCATATCACAAACCTAATGTGCATGGAATACTATTGCGATGTGTCATTTTGTCCCTGATTGGCTTGTGAATAGTGCCAGGTTTCTAAGCCCTGTGATGCATATGATAAACAGAGGCACTAAAGCAAATGATGCTATTACACTGATGTTGAGAATCATAAACAGAATTAATAATCCATGCAAGCTCTGTGAAAATGTTCTATGCTAATGTTTACCAGCATGTGCACAAATAATGAGTTCCATTTAAAAAATCAGCAGCCAGCAAATTATTACAGCTGAGAAGCTGCAGAACAGGCTCAACTGCTGGCAGGTCAGACTGCATTTAAATAGCTAAGGGTGACAACTGTGAGTTTAGTCCTGAACAAGATCAAGAGTTAAATAGATGAGTTGGAAAATGAGCACAAGCAGACAGGAAAGAAACAGGAGCAATCTGAAGCAACATTGATAAGAATGTTGTGCAGCCACCAACTTGTATCCATTAGCAAAGTAATAATAAGAAAATGTTCTAACATGAACATAACGATAGTGCTGCAGTTGGTGCCTGGGACACTTCTGTTCTGCCACTGCTCTCTTGCCAGGCACTTTTCAGCACAACCAACCATTGGTTATTCTCTCCTCTTCCAGTGTGTGCCTTGGCCTTTTAATATGAAGAAAGAAATATGCACTGTGAAAGAAATATTTATACCATTTGTGGAGTAGGCAGCACCATTAGATTGGATGCACTAAATCCCCATTGCAGTGTGGGAGGCAAATGTGGATTCAAGCAGTGCTCAAGGAATTGTTCTTCTGATCTCTGCTCCAAGTGCTGGAAGTAAAGCATATACTCCTATTTAAAGAAAAGGAAAAGTAATTTAATTATATAATCAATCAAGTCTGATGTCAGGCCAATGAAGCAGCAGAATTTTACAGCTTATATAAGAGCAATTAATTCACCCCTTCAAATTATCAAATCTGGTGAAATGGGGGTGCTAGTCAGCTTGCCCCAACCTAAAAATATGTAATGAATGTCATAATCATACGGATCAGTAAATGATGTTGAGCAAGAATTTTTCAGCAATATCCACAAACCAGGAATTCTGTATACATATTTCTTATTTGCATATCAACACAGAAGCCTCTGTTGGCCCTGAGTGTACAGAAAGATTCTCATCAATACCTCTGTTGTAGCCCCTTTGTACTTGTTTAGGCCACCCATTCTTGCAAGAGTGTAAATAAGCTGTTCTCTGAAGGGTTTCTGAAGGGTTCTGGTAGTAGCAGGCATCAAAACTGATTGTTCTTTCTGTGATACATCGAATAATGTGCATTTCCCATACTCAGTACAAGTGTTTTGGTGTAAGCAACAAGTTACCAAACTAAAGCAAGCTGTGTACCAAAAACTTGGCTGCTGTCAGGAACAAAACTTACTTTATAAAAGCTACAGTCCCAGTGCATGTGGGCTCATAAGCTTTGTGAACACTAGATACATTTTTCAAAATACATCCATCCCCATTGCTTCCCACAGTAGGCACTGCAGCAATGGAAGCTGTAGCATAAACTCTTTGCACTGGCCAACGGTTGCTGCTGTCATCTAGTTCCCTGCTCTTTGTGCTACCCAAAGGGTTGGCACACTGGGTGCCAGCAGGAAGCATTAGGATCCTGCCTTTTCCTGTGCTTTCTGTCCTGGCAGCACAGGGAGAGTTGGCTGAGATCCCTCGGTGAGGCAGGACTGTGAACCTGTGCAGAACAGAATGATATGACCCAGAAGATGCCACATGCTAAAAAGCAAAGCCTCAGTCAAAGCAAAATTAAAACATGCAGGTAACATAAATTACATTTTTAAAACAATCAACCATGGAGGTTCTTGCTGTCTGTAACTGAACAGGCTTTTTGACTGAAACAGCACTGTGGAAGTCAAACCGTGTCACAAAGAATTGCAAATTAAATTCCCCAGCTCAGCATGATCTGGCCTAGTGCAAACAGTTTTTGCTTAAGGTAGATGAACAGAGGTGGGTTCATCTCAGCATTCATTTCATTCTGCTACAAAGAATCCATACCAAATCAGTTTTTCTCCTTGAGCTGATGGTAGAACTGTGCACAGGAATGCAGCAACCATGCCCCTTCATTCACAAGGGAAAATCTCCATCTTCCCCATATCAGGGGGGGGATAGTCTTTATATTGGAAGATATTTCCTTTTCTACTGAAAGCCTTGACATCTATTGAGAGAAAAAAGTGTTCTTCTGTTTAATAAGAAACAATGCTGGAGCCAGCATTGTTGTACAGGGAAAATAAATAAATAAATAAAAAGAAGGAAATTTACAACAAAGTGTTCCACAGTATTCCTGGTAGGCTGGAAAGTGACAGGATACACCAACCTAGGTCAGCAACCAAACACCTCTCTAGACCCAGCTCCCACTGCCCCACCCAGAATCACAGACTCATGGAATATCTCAAGTAGGAAGGGACCCATAAGTATCATGGAGTCCAAGTCTTGATCCTCCCAGAACAACCTAAAACCAAACCATATGGCTGAGAGCATAATTTGTTGGCTTTTAATTTCCTGTAATACAGGATTTAACTCAATCCCACTTTAATGTTTTCTTTGTTTTGTATTTAATATGTTGTTTGTACTACACAACACACAATCGTGGTGGGATATTAAGAATAAGCATAGATGGGAGCTGTATTCCCACCAATTTTCAAAAACTTGTTTAACAACAGCCTAGAAATCAACCCAATCCTGAATGTCACGGGCAGCCCCTGCCTTCTGGTTTTGGCTCTTTCGTACAGTCTTCATGGTACAAGATAGTTACTGGTGCAATACTCTTGTGACAGCTTGGATTTGTTGTGGCTGTCACACCTGTCAAAGCAGCATGTACCTCAGGAGTGGGGGGTGGCCAGCCAGCCAGGATGGCCGGGTGGGTTCTCTTGGGTGGTACACAGTGTCCAACAGCAATGGAAAAGCTCTGGCTGGCCCCACAGTCGTGCAGGGCACATCTCCGGTGGAGTTTAGGAGTGTTCAGAACCTTACTAAACTCAGCCCCTTGTATTTGTCATACATGCAAAATGTGCTTTCTAGCTTCTGAGGGTTTTGCTTCTTCAGAAGCTTCTCCTTTCTTCACTTTGGAAGGAACCTTAAATGCCTCTTGAGAAGTGCAGAATTCTGTTACATCTTGTCCAAGCAAGTAAAACAGAAGGCTCTTTACTTCTTTTTCTTTGTTGTAATATGCTTTTAAAATAAGGAAGTTTAAATGCTGTATGTAAAAACAATGCTGTTTCATTAAGCTAGCAACTAAAAACTCCTACAATATCATAACAAATCGTACTATCTGTAGCATTTATAAACAAGTGACTGAAAGTGATTTTAAAAGCCAATTCAGAACTACCTCAATCTCCACACCGACCACTGACACCTCCTCTCCTTTCTGCCCTGAGTGCAGAATGTACTGTAAGCAGAAGACATTTCCTGTTATTTAGTTTTTCAGGAACAACCTCATGAAATCCACGTTTCTATAATGAAAAGCCACTTTCTTCTCAATAATTTAATCAGCATTTTTGAACCATGATAAATAATTTCCACATTCTGCAAGCATATGTTTCCTGAGCAATGTTCAGCACTTACAGAATGCTGCTTAACAGGGTCTGAAACAATGTAAGGAGTTTTTTTAGTATTTTAAGGAAGGACTCAGCTGCTTAAAAGAGTGATATTCATAACATATTGCTTGGAGTTAAATCTATAGACATTTAGTGCAAAGCATGAGTGTTTTCAGGTTTTTGGTAGGTTGTTTGGGGGTTTATTTTTAGTTCATGTAATTTTAAAATAAATATAAATTACCCTCATTGGCTCATTAGGGAAACCAGCTTTTCTCTGTCTTCACGATGAGTTCTCAGAATCTGTTTGGCATCTTTTTCAGTCAAAATTGGTGAACTGTCTAAAGACAGAAAAGCAAAAATTAGTTCTGAAATTACAAAAAAAGCTAATATTTTATCTGTTATTTGTAAAATTAAATGTCTCCAAACCTGATTTTTGTCCATATACAAAGTGTTCTTTCATTACAGCCTCTTCCCAGGGGATATTGCATTCCAGGAGATATGAGTGGAATTTTAAACCATTTTTATACTTGTGCTTTCCATAGTTCTACCAGTATGAAGCAAACCCTACGTATTCATGTTACCCTCTAAAAAGAGAAAACATAACAGCACCATCTAACCACTGAAATTATTAACTCTTTCAATTCTTTGTTCCTCTGCTACTTCACTTTTTCAGCTTGTGTTTCAAAGTAATGAGTTAGACTTTTGTTGCAAAGGAGAGATTACACTGAACATTTAGCTTGCAGGACACTGGAAAAATAATATTAAAATAGTAAGCCTGTAAAATAACCCTTTTTTGTTTTAGAATAAGTTATTGCAACATGGTAATGCTGAGAGTAAAGTATCTAATACAATAGCATGATTGTTAAAAATCAAATCATGTAAAGCCTGCAATATAAACAGTTAAGTATTAAAAATTAAATATGAAGATACCAAAATATGAGGCTGGCAAACTAATACTATTATAATATGCTCTGCAGCTCTGTTTACATAGGCATGTTTGTTTTGTATAAACTCCTACCTGTAAAAGTGGCCATGAGGACCAACCAATTTCTCCATCTGATTCTGCTTTCTCTCAGTCTGTTCCAAAATGAGTAATGTTGACTGAGGCATTAGCCTATTTGTAGTAGCTACGTCAGTCACAAATGTTTGTTTATGCTTTAACCAATTTGAGTGATAGTATGATTTTGAAGACATCTGGCCTGAAGTTTTGAATATGGCTATTATCTGCTCACACATTCTCAGCATAACTCTGTTCCTGAGGGAAAAAAAGAGAAGACCATTTTTCCACTACAGGCTTTAGAGTTACACTGGATATTTTATATTTGTGAAAATAAAACACATGACCTTCCATCCAGCATAGTAAGCTATGGTTTTGGCTGCCTAGAATAAGCAATTGTTTTTTAAAAGAAACAATTGTCCATTCCTGAATGTTATTATCAAAGGCAGCCGAAAAGGGGCCCCTTTGTCAAACACTGTCTCTAACTTTACTCCAGCACAGGAGTACATCTTAATGTAGCAGAACATCTACAGTGTACATCTAGCAGAACCAAACTGTCACTGCTGAAAATAAAGAGAGTTTTTAATCAAATTAATATACTCATACAAAAGAAAACTCACATAATGCTTCTCTTTTCAGGACAAGCTAGTAGAAAACAGGAGTATAAATGCCCTAGTAAACACAGTGTGAAGTAAGAATGTAGGTTACCAGCTATAATTGCAAACAGGTAGTTTCTGTCTTGCAAAGTGTGGCTCTCTGGACCTCTCCCAAGCAGCACTACACTGCACATGTGGCACCAGCATCACTGATTTGTAGATCAAATAGATGTCTATTTGAATAGGGAAGATGGAATAAGGAGTCAGAATTCAGCAGCAGCTCTCTTATGAGGGATGTAAATAACATTTCCCCTCTGAGGAGAAAGTGCAGCCCGTCCCCATCCCTCCTACAGGTCTTTTCTTTTGTGCCTTTGTAACTCCCAGAGAAGTGGTGTTTATTGTGTCTGTGCCACCATGTCTGCACAAGTCAGCCAGTTTCCTTGAAACCCGCAGAGAGCTGTGCATCTCAAAAACATTAAGTTACAGAAAGGTTCAAGGCAGGGGCTCTGTGAGGGCCCCTCAGATGAGCACCTTTGAGGTGTGTTTAACCACCTTAAACCCCAGCCAGTCACCTCTCCTTGGCTGGCCTGCAGCAGCCCAACTGCTGGCACAGTTATTAATGAGTTTGTTAAAATCTGACACAATCATGGGCTAAACCAGAGGGTGCTGTAGGTGTGAGGGCTTGACAGGAGTGAAAGCAGGCAATGAAAACAAAGCAGGTCTGTGTTGGGCTGTCCCATAATGGGACTGTTCTTGGGAACCTGAGGTCTGTCAAACGGTGCAGCATTTGCATTTTTCAGCAATGTGTTTTCAGATACCAACAGCCTACAATGCAGGAAATGTTGTGTCTACTGTATGGATTTGTGTAGCGATCCTTTACTGAAGGCGCAAAAAACCCCGTCGTTTCTAATAGCAGCAATTACTTATTTTTATAACAACAGCTACAGGGGAAACACTCAATGACAGGAGATGATGCGGGGGAAACACTTACGGCCGGGGCATAAGGGAACGAACGGTACGATAACTCAGGCCCAGATCTCCTCCTCCGAGGCCCTTCCCCGTGTTTTTGCCGCCCCGTGCCCGCGCTGCGGGGGCGATGAACCCGCAGC